GGGATTATTCCTGACAGCTGCTTGAATGCTGAGTGATTTTTTTTTTATTATTATTTATTTATTTAAAAAAAAATTTAATTAAATATAAAATAAATAAATAAAAATAAAATAAAATAAATATATATACAGTGGGGCAAAAAAGTATTTAGTCAGCCACCAATTGTGCAAGTTCTTCCACTTAAAAAGATGAGAGAGGCCTGTAATTGGCATCATAGGGAGACCTCAACTATGAGAGACAAAATGAGAAAACAAAGCCAGACAATCACATTGGCTGATCTGGAAAGAATTTATTTACAAATTATGGTGGAAAATAAGTATTTGGTGAATATGAAAAGTTCATCTCAATACTTTGTTATATATCCTTTGTTGGCAATGACAGAGGTCAGACGTTTCCTGGAAGTCTTCACAAGGTTGGCACACACTGTTGCTGGTATGTTGGCCCATCCTCCATGCAGATCTCCTCTAGAGCAGTGATGTTTTGGGGCTGTCACTGGACAACACAGACTTTCAACTCCCTTCAAAGGTTTTCTATGGGGTTGAGATCTGGAGACTGGCTAGGCCACTCCAGGACCTTGAAATGCTTCTTACGAAGCCACTCCTTCGTTGCCCGGGCAGTATGTTTGGGATCATTGTCATGTTGGAAGACCCAGCCACGTTTCATCTTCAATGCCCTTGCTGATGGAAGGAGGTTTGCACTCAAAATCTCACGATACGTGGCCCCCCAACATTCATTCTGTCCTGTACATGGATCAGTCGTCCTGGTCCCTTTGCGGAGAAACAGCCCCAAAGCATGATGTTGCCACCAACATGCTTCACAGTAGGTATGGAGTTCTTTGGATGCAACTCAGCATTCTCTCTCCTCCAAACACGACGAGTTGTGTTTCTACCAAACAGTTCTATTTTGGTTTCATCTGACCATACGACATTCTCCCAATCCTCTTCTGGATCATCCAAATGCTCTCTAGCAAACTTCAGACGGGCCCGGACATGTACTGGCTTAAGCAGGGGGACACGTCTGGCACTGCAGGATCTGAGTCCCTGGCGGCGTAGTGTGTTACTGATGGTAGCCTTTGTTACGTTGGTCCCAGCTCTCTGCAGGTCATTCACTAGGTCCCCCCGTGTGGTCCTGGGATTTTTGCTCACCGTTCTTGTGATCATTATGACCCCACGGGGTGAGATCTTGCGTGGAGCCCCGGATCGAGGGAGATTATCAGTGGTCTTGTATGTCTTCTATTTTCTAATTATTGCTCCCACAGTTGATTTGTTCACACCAAGCTGCTTGCCTATTGCAGATTAAGTCTTCCCAGCCTGGTGCAGGTCTACAATTTTGTTTCTGGTGTCCTTCGACAGCTCTTTGGTCTTCACCATAGTGGAGTTTGGAGTGTGACTGTTTGAGGTTGTGGACAGGTGTCCTTTATACTGATAACAAGTTCAAACAGGTGCCATTGATACAGGTAATGAGTGCAGGACAGAGGAGCCTCTTAAAGAAGAAGGTACAGGTCTGTGAGAGCCAGAAATCTTGCTTGTTTGTAGGTGACCAAATACTTATTTTCCACCATAATTTGCAAATAAATTCTTTCCAGATCAGCCAATGTGATTGTCTGGATTTGTTTTCTCATTTTGTCTCTCATAGTTGAGGTCTCCCTATGATGCCAATTACAGGTCTCTCTCATCTTTTTAAGTGGAAGAACTTGCACAATTGGTGGGAACTAAATACTTTTTTGCCCCACTGTGTATATATATATATATATATATATATATATAAAATTTTTTTTTTTTTTTTTTGAACAGAGGAGTAGAGCCTGTTTGGTTAGCAGTCACTTTCCAAAATGTATCTTAAGGCCCGGTTCACACTGATGCAAATTCGGTTTCTGTGCGATTCCCGCACCGCATCACAATTGCAACCCTGCTGCGGGTGCGTACGTTAAGATACGACACCCCGAAACCGGTTCGCAAAATGCGGTACGATGTGCAGAATCGGATGTTCACATCCAATTCTGCTGCGGACAAAAAAAAAGGGTCCTGCCCGATTTTGGTGCGATTTGAGCCATACAAAATGTATGGGTCAAATTTCACCGCACAGAAATCGTTTGTGATTCGAACAGGAATGCGGTGCGGTTCACATGCGATGCACACCGAGGCTCACTTTGCGATATGAATGATTGCAAATAAGGTGAACCTGTGTTAATTTTGAATACCCAATCATGTGCGAGAAAAATGGGAGGGAAAAAAAAAATGGTTTTTTTGCTAGAACCTGATTGGTTTACGGAAGTAAACATAATTATTCTTCCATCCGATAATCGGATCGTTAGTACACAGCTTTTGAGAGCCGATCACGACAATTCGTATGACAATATCCGAAGGGACAAGCGCAAAAATTTTTCTCGTACGATACCAGATCGTACAATTTTCCTTTAATCAGTACAGTAGTCGTCCGAAAATACAATACAAATACAATACGTGACATCACTTTCGAAATTCTTTTCTTTCATAGGAGAATTTTTGTATTTTAATATCTTCACTTTCGATGTGAGACTAGCAGGCGAAAAAAAACGGCCGATCGGCCGATAATCTCATCGTGTGTACAGGGCATAATGCTGCAAAATTCGAATGAAAATTCTTAGAAAAGATTTTCGAAAGAAAATTCTTTCAGAATTCAACCCGTGTACTTTAGCTGGCAACGCGGCCAATCTCACACAAGTGCTGCTCATTAAAATAGAAAATATTAGGCCGGCCATGCATGGGTCGATTTTCAAACGAATTACAGAACGAACGATGTTTTCGATTGAAAAATCGTTCAGAATTCGACCCATGTATGGCCTGCTCTAACCCCTCACCTACAGGGCACTTATACCCCCTTCCTGTCCAGGCCCATTTTCAGCTTTCAGCGCTGTCTCACTTTGAATGACAATTGCGCGGTCATGCAACACTGTACCCATATGACTTTTTTATAATTTTTTTGTGACAGAGCTTTATTTTGGTGGTATTTAATCACCTCTGGGGTTTTTTATTTTTTCTTAAACTAAAAACCACTGAAAATTTTGAAAAAAAAAAACAAAAAAATAACTTTTTTTCTTAGTTTTTGTTATAAAATTTTGTAAATAAGTGATTTTTCTCCTTCACTGATGTTCGCTAATGAGGCTGCAGTGATGGGCACCGATGGGCTACACTGATGGGCTACACTGATGGGCTACACTGATGGGCACTGATGAGGAGGCACTGGTAGGTGGCACTGATGGACATTGACCGGCATCACTGATGGGCACTGAAAGGCACCACTGATAGATGGCACTGATATATGGCACTGTTAGGCTGCACTGACTGGCACTGATGGGTGACACTGAAAGGCAGCTCAGATGGGCACTGATATGTGCATTGATGTGCACTGTTAGGCACTGATATGTAGCATTGATGTGGCACTGATGGGCACTGACAGCTAGCACTGATGGACACTGACAGGTGGCACTGCTGGGGCTACACTGATCATCAGGGCACACTGATCATCAGCGGCCTTATGATCAGTGTAGATGTCCCCTCTGCGGAATGCTGATTACCGGCTCTCCTCTCCTGTCAACGTGACAGCTCGAGAACAGAGAAATCCCGATAACTGGCATTTCCCTGTTTACATGTGATCAGCTGTGATTGGACACCGCTGATCACATGACCGAGCCGACATCTTTGGCACTTTCCGTGATTGGTGATCCACTGTATCCGAGGGACACAGCGCACCGCCGATCGCCGCGCTGCGCGCTCACCCCGAGCTGCGCATGCGCGGTGAGAATGGGAGGACGCCATATGACATCCTCCCAGAACGAGAGAACCGCCTTGCGTCTGTCATATTACTATATGGCGGGCGGGAGGTGGTTAATGTGTCCAAAGTCGGCCATACACGGGTCAAATTCAAAAAATTGTTTTCTTTCGAAAATCTTTTCTAAGAATTTTCGTTCGAATTTCGCACCATTACTAGGCCACAGCAACGGCCGATTTTTGAGCGACCATTTGAGTGATCGGAAATGGGCGAATTTCTAATCCACGATGGGCGAATTGTACGAAAAATGTAATTGAAAAATAAATGAGCTGTGACCTGGAGAGAAAAGGAAATTCTTGGCCACGAAAATTTTTTTCTGTAGCAAAATGTGAAATTAAAGGCATGGTTGGCTGAATTTCGAAATCAATGGTGCGCGCCATCGCATTACAGAACGCACGAAAATTCGTTTGAAACCCGACCCGTGTATGGCCCGTACATGACTGATAAATGTACTTGTTGGGTGATTGCTGTGCCCTTTTTTTCTCCGAAAGATTGAATGCCAAAATAAACTCCTTTTGTGTCTTCAATTTTTAGGTTGCTGAACAAAAAAATTATTTGTTGCTGTGGTGGATCTCGCATCTTCAAGATCGGACTTTCCTCTCCAATCAGACAATGAACACTTACCCATAAGAAGAATAAAAACAGTAAGTCGTTCTATCATAATAATTCCTGTAGTCGACTGGCAAATGTCGACCATATTTAAAAAAAAAAAAATTATAATCTTTTTATTTTGAATGGTTGTGAGCGAGATATTCAAGAAATGTAAAGCCAACATTTCATATTCCTGATATGCGCCTGCCGTACCATGGGCTTTCCTTTGTATTGCTTCCTTTGTGTGAAATACTTGGTGTTCCTGCCAGTCCCTCTGCGTTCCTATCAAAAAACTGACCACACTAGGCATGACAGCGCAGCGTGGTCAGTTTTCTAGCTGTGCTCAGAATTCAGCCTACTCAGCCATTCACTGGGAATATCAGTGCACTACAGTTTCTCCTCCCCAACCTGTCAATGCAGCTGAGAACAGAAGGAATGTGATCACTTATAAAAAGGTATTTCTAATGTTTATATATACTGTGTACACTCACCGGCCACTTTATTAGGTCTACCTTGCTAGTGCCAAGAAAATCTTCCCTGCACCATGACACCACCAGCCTGAATCGTTGTTACAAGGTAGGATGGATCCACCACACCATGACACCACCAACCTGAACCGTTGATGCAAGGCAGGATGGATCCACCACACCATGACACCACCAACCTGAACCGTTGATGCAAGGCAGGATGGATCCACCACACCATGACACCACCAGCCTGAACCGTTGATACAAGGCAGGATGGATCCACCGCACCATGACACCACCAGCCTGAATCGTTGTTACAAGGTAGGATGGATCCGCCACACCATGACACCACCAGCCTGAACTGTTGATGCAAGGCAGGATGGATCCCCCACACCATGACACCACCACCAGCCTGAACTGTTGATGCAAGGCAGGGTGGATCCACCACTCCATGACACCACCAGCCTGATCTGTTGATACAAGGTAGGATGGATCCACCACACCATGACACCACCAGCCTGAACTGTTGATACAAGGTAGGGTGAATCCACCACTCCATGACACCACCAGCCTGATCTGTTGATACAAGGTAGGATGGATCCACCACACCATGACACCACCAGCCTGAACCATTGATACAAGGCAGGATGGATCCCCCACACCATGACACCACCAGCCTGAACCGTTGATACAAGGTAGGGTGGATCCACCACTCCATGACACCATCAGCCTGATTGGTTGATACAAGGCAGGATGGATCCCCCACACCATGACACCACCACCCTGAATCGTGGATACAAGGTAGGGTGGATCCACCACACCATGACACCACCAGCCTGAACCGTTGATACAAGGTAGGGTGGATCCACCATCCATGACACCACCAGCCTGAACCGTTGATACAAGGCAGGATGGATCCACCGCACCATGACACCACCAGCCTGAACCGTTGATACAAGGCAGGATGGATACACCACACCATGACACCACCAGCCTGAACCGTTGATACAAGGCAGGATGGATACACCACACCATGACACCACCAGCCTGAACCGTTGATACAAGGCAGGATGGATACACCACACCATGACACCACCAGCCTGAACCGTTGATACAAGGCAGGATGGATACACCACACCATGACACCACCAGCCTGAACCGTTGATACAAGGCAGGATGGATACACCACACCATGACACCACCAGCCTGAACCGTTGATACAAGGTAGGATGCATCCACCACACCAAGACACCACCAGCCTGAACCGTTGATACAAGGTAGGATGGATCCCCCACACCATGACACCACCAGCCTGAACCGTTGATACAAGGCAGGATGGATACACCACACCATGACACCACCAGCCTGAACCGTTGATACAAGGCAGGATGGATACACCACACCATGACACCACCAGCCTGAACCGTTGATACAAGGTAGGATGCATCCACCACACCAAGACACCACCAGCCTGAACCGTTGATACAAGGTAGGATGGATCCCCCACACCATGACACCACCAGCCTGAACCGTTGATACAAGGTAGGATGGATCCCCCACACCATGACACCATCAGCCTGAACCGTTGATACAAGGCAGGATGGATCCACCACACCATGACACCACCAGCCTGAACCGTTGTTGCAAGGTAGGATGGATCCACCACACCATGACACCACCAGCCTGAACCATTGATACAAGGCAGGATGGATCCCCCACACCATGACACCACCAGCCTGAACTGTTGATACAAGGTAGGATGGATCCACCACACCATGACACCACCAGCTTGAACCGTTGATACATGGTAGGATGGATCCACCACACCATGACACCACCAGCCTAAACTGTTGATACAAGGTAGGATGGATCCACCACACCATGACACCACCAGCCTGAACCGTTGATACAAGGCAATATAGATTTTTGAAGGTATGGACCAAAACATATTCACGCTATAGTTCTAAAATGGATATGGGCTGAACGTGTACACTCTCAGGTGTAATTTGAGGGTATGTGCATCCAAATTGGAGGAAGGGTTTAGGAATTACAGCTCTTTAGAGTAGCCACCCCCCCTTTTCAAGGGACCAAAAGTAATTGGACAAATTAATATAATCAATAAAATGTTGATTTGTACTAATTTGTTGAGAATCCTTTACTGGCAATGACTGCCTGAAGTCTGGAACCCATGGACATGAGCAAAGACTGGGTTTCCTCCTTTCTGATGCTTTGCCCGAAGTCTGGAACCCATGGACGTGACCAAAGACTGGGTTTTCCTCCTTTCTGATGCTTTGCCTGAGGTCTGGAGCTCATGGACAAGACCAAAGACTGGGTTTCTTCCTTTCTGATGCTTTGCCTGAAGGTTGGAACCCATGGATGTGACCCAAGACTGGGTTTCTTCCTTTCTGATGTTTTGACTGAACTCTGGAACCCATGGACATTACCAAAGACTGGGTTTCCTCCTTTCTGATGCTTTTCCTGAGGTCTGGAACCCATGGATGTGACCAAAGACTGGGTTTCCTCCTTTCTGATGCTTTGCCTGAGGACTGGAACCCATGGACATGACCAAAGACTGGGTTTCCTCCTTTCTGATGCTTTGGTCACGTCCATGGGTTTCAGACCTCAGGCAAAGACTGGGTTTCCTCCTTTCTGATGCTTTACCTGAGGTCTAGAACCCATGGACGTGACCAAAGACTGGGTTTCCTCTCCTTTCTGATGCTTTGCCTGAGGTCTGGAACCCATGGACATGACCAAAGACTGGGTTTCCTCCTTTCTGATGCTTTGCCAGGCTCTAACTGCAGCTGTCTTCAGTTGTTCTTTATTTGTGGGTCTTTCTGCCTTTTAGTTTTGCCTTCAGCAAGTGAAATGCATGCTCAATGGGGTCGAGATCAGGTGATTGACTCGGCTATCGCAGAATATTCCACTTCTTTTCCTTCAAAAGCTCCTGGGTTGCTTTTGCAGTGTTTTTTTGGATCATTGTCCATCTGTTTACTATGCTTCAGTTAGGAATGAACACAGTGAGTGATCGGTACCAATTACTCACTGTGTTCATTCAGGAAAGGAAGGGGCCAGTTCTTTTCTTCCACCATCCATCGTGAAAGAATCCCCCCACAGCAGCCAGCGGGAGAGGATGGGAAGCTGGAAGCGCTGTGGATGATCCAGGGGGCCCAGAAAGAGGGTAAACCTGGTCAGGAGGGGTGATGGGGCGGCATTTTAATGGAGCTGATCCCCTGTATTGTCATTCTGCAGCAGTGGGCGGGGAGAGGAGGAGAGGCCAGCTTTCAGCTGCTGAATGAGCCAAATACAGGGGATCGGCTCCAGTAAATGCCGCCCTGCCCCCCCTCCTCCTGTCCAGGTTCTGGGGGTCAGCTAGGAGGGGACCGGATCTACCTGTCACCTGCCGTCATCGACATGTAGATGGTGATTGGTGGGTTGCCAGCCTCCGCTATAGAGGGACGAGCTTTGTTGAGGTTTACAAGCACTTTAAGTAATTTGTCTCCAATATCTGCCTGGAGTTCAGCTGAACGAAGGAGACCACAAAGCGTTGCGTCTTTGAATGTCAGCTTCATGTAAACATACCCACGAAGCGGAATAAATCTTCCCTCCAAGGATGGACCACGCTTCCTACATCGATACATTATTAAGTGGCTCTTGTAATACATGGATCACACAGCATGCCGTTCACAAGCCATTAGGCTGAGAGCTCTCCTCCAAGGGAAGAAGACGGAGAAGTGTGGCCTGATGGAAACGTCTCACAAACCACAGGACATTGGGAAACATTAGGAGGATGAGATCAGATAAACCAGAGGTCTCCAAACTGCCGCCCTTTGCTTGCTTTTATCCAGCACTTGGGGCATTATTTCATTCACTGACACCAACAATGGGGCATAGTTCCCTCCCAATGACACCAACAATGGGGCATTATTTCATTCACTGACACCAACAATGGGGCATAGTTCCTGGTAATGACACCAGCAATGGGGCACAGTTCCTGCTAATGAGACCAATGATGGGACACAGTTCCTGCTAATGATACCAATGATGGGGCACAGTTCTGCCAATCACACCGATAATGGGGCCCAATGGCACTAATGATGGGGCACAATTCCTCCCAATGATGAGGCACAATTCTTCCCAGTGACACCAACAAGGGGGCACCGTTCCTCCCAATGACACCAACAATGGGGCCCAATGACACCAATGATGGGGCACAATTCCTCCCAATGCAAAGAGTGATGGGGCACAGTTCTTCCCAATTACACCAATGATGGGACACTATTCCTCCCACTGATACCAATAATGGGGCACTATTCCTCCCAATGACACCAATGATGGGACACTATTCCTTCGAATGACACCAACAACGGGGCCCAATTACACCAATAATGGTGCACAATTCCTCCCAATGAAGCCAGTGATGGGGCACAGTTCTTCCCAATTACACCAATTATGGGGCGCAATTCCTCCCACTGACACCAATGATGGGACACTATTCCTACCAATGACACCAACAATGAGGCCCAATTACACCAATGATGGGGCACAATTTCTCCCAGTGACACCAACAAAGGGGCCAAATTGCACTAATGATGGGGCACAATTCCTACTCATGATGGGGCACAATTCTTCCCAATGATACCAGTGATGAGGCACAGTTCCCTCCAATGACACCAACAATGGGCCCAATGACACCAATGATGGGGCACAATTCCTCCCCATGAAGCCAGTGATGGAGCACTATTCCTCCCAATTACATCAACAATGGGGCACTATTCCTGCCAATGACACCAATGAATAGACACTATTCCTCCCAATTACATCAACAATGGGGCACTATTCCTCCCAATGACTCCAATGCTAGGACACTATTCCTACCAATGATGGGGCACTATTCCTCCACTGATACCAATGATGGGGCACTATTCCCCCCACTGACACCAATGATGGGGCACTATTCCTCCCACTGACACCCAATGATGGGGCACTATTCTCCCACTGATACCAATGATGGAGCACTATTCCTCCCAATGACACCAATGATGAGACACTATTCCTCCCACTGACACCAATGATGGGGCACTATTCCTCCCACTGACACCAATGATGGAGCACTATTCCTCCCAATGACACCAAT